ACACACACACACACACACACACACACACACACACACACACACACACACACACACACACACACACACACACACACACACAATGGTTGCCAATTTTGTTTGGAGATATTCCTGGAAGTTCCATCACATGACATAATATTTAATTAAAGATTAATCTTTAATTCCTGGAGACTCCAGGCCAATCCTGAAAAGTTGGCCACCCACCCCCTTCCCTTCTAAGAAGGAGACTTCGCTTTCTCTCCTCTCTATCTCGGGGCGGGAGAGACGTAGGAAAGAATGACTTCTGTTCTCAGAACTCATCACTTACCTTTCTCTGGTCACACTTTCCTAATCCCAGTATTGCCTGCCCCAAAACAGTCAAAATAATGAATCAATCCCCTCGCCCCAAGTGAGATTGGCTTAGACAATGAGATTTCTAAAAATAATAAAGGTGGGACTCTTTTTATTTGTCTTCTATGTTTTGTGCTGTTTGTATTCACACTTCTGAGTTTTCTCTACACTTGTGAGGGCTAGACACTTCCTTTTTTTTTTAATGAAAGCTGAGACTGTGGTGTATTCACATGACTTCAGTAGCTGGGGCTTTTGGAAAAACTCCAAACAGCATGAGACTTGCAATAAAATGGCAACACTGCATCCATCCCCCCCAGTGACCTCCCCCATCTTTCCTCCCTTGCCATTTTATCTCAGGTTCCTTCCTGCCCTCTGCTTCTTCTAGGGTGACCAGATGTCCCGATTTTATAGGGACAGTCCCAATTTTTAGGTCTTTTTCTTATATAGGCTCCTATTACCCCCCACCCCCATCCCAATTTTTCACACTTGCTGTCTGGTCACCCTAGCTTCTTCCACAGTCTCCTTTACTTTCCCCTCAGTCCCTCTGCTGCTACCACTCTCCCTCCTTAGCTCTCTAGATTGTCCTGTCCTCCTATATTCACTTACTCCACCCCCACCCCACCTGCCAGTGTCCTTCCCTGTGCCCCGTAATCACCTCCTCTTTGCATGGCCCCTCCCTGCCTCCTGACAGCGCACACCTTTGCTAAAATGTAGCCTGACTTTAAGTCTCATTGGAGACACTAGGAGGTGGTGGCCCTCTTTTCTAGGGTCAACCTGACTGCCACCTGCACAGGCTGTAGGGAAATGGTAGCCATCTTAATTAAGAGCAGCCTGGCATCAGGCCCACTAATGGGGTATGGGAAATGGTGCCCATTTTGGGAAAGGGCAAAACTTTGTGAGGTTGCTCCTGTTCATCCCTACATCACAAGAGGCTTCAAGTCAAAATACCCAACATGAGTCTCACAACAAAAATGTGATTGCTGGCAACTCTCTAAAGTCACAATCTCCCCCCAGTGTCCTGTGGGTCCTGAAGCAGGGGAGCAGCCTGTGTGAGACTACAGCCTTGCCCCCTGTGCCTCATCAGGGTGTTCACCTAGCTCAGGCCTCTATGATGTCTCTTTTCAGAGTAGCAGCCGTGTTAGTCTGTATCCTCAAAAAGAACAGGAGTACTTGTGGCACCTTAGAGAATAACAAATTTATTTGAGCATAAGCTTTTGAGGGCTACAGCCCACTTCATCGGATGCATAAAATGGAACACACAGCAAGAAGGTATTTATACATACAGAGAACATGAAAAGGTGGGAGTAGCCATACCAACTGTAAGAGACCACTCAATTGAGATGAGCTATCAGCAGCAGAAGAAAAAAAATCTTTGATGTGATAATCGAGAGGACCCATAGAAGGTGTGAGGAGAACTTAACATGGGGAAATAGATTCAATTAGTGTCATGACCCAACCATTCCCAGTCTCTGTTCAAACCTAAGTTAATTGTATCTAATTTACATATTAATTCAAGTTCAGCAGTCTCTCTTTGGAGTCTGTTTCTGAAGTTTTTTTGTTGCAAAATTGCCACCTTCAAGTCTGTCACTGAGTGGTTAGAGAGGTTGAAGTGTTCTCCCACTGGTTTTTGAATGTTATAATTCCTGATGTCAGATTTGTGTCCATTTATTCTTTTGTATAGAGACTGTCCAGTTTGGCCAATGTACATGGCAGAGGGGCATTGCTGGCACATGATGGCATATATCACGTTGGTAGATGTGCAGGTGAACGAGTCCCTGATGGCGTGGCTGATGTGATTAGGTCCTATGATGGTGTCACTTGAATAGATATGTGGACAGAGTTGGCATCGAGCTTTGTTGCAAGGATAGGTTCCTGGGTTAGTTTTTATGTTGTATGGTGTGTGGTTGCTAGTGAGTATTTGTTTCAGGTTGGGGGGCTGTCTGTAAGCGAGGACTGGTCTGTCTCCCAAGATCTGTGAGAGTGAGGGATCGTCCTTCAGGATAGGCTGTAGATCTTTGATGATGCGTTGGAGAGGTTTTAGTTGGGGGCTGAAGGTGACGGCTAGTGGTGTTCTGTTATTTTCTTTGTTGGGCCTCTCCTGTAGTAGGGTGACATCTGGGTACTCTTCTGGCTCTGTCAATTTGTTTTTTCACTTCAGCAGGTGGGTATTATAGTTTTAAGAATGCTTGATAGAGATCTTGTAGGTGTTTGTCTCTGTCTGAGGGACTGGAGCAAATGCGGTTGTATCTTAGAGCTTGGCTGTAGACAATGGATTGTGTGGTGTGTCCTGGATGGAAGCTGGAGGCATGTAGGTAAGTATAGCCATCAGTAGGTTTCCGGTATAGGGGTGGTGTTTATGTGACCATCACTTATTAGCACAGTAGTGTCTAGGAAATGATGTCTCTGTCTCTCTTGCCTACCATGTGCTGTGAGGCTGCCAATTTGTTCCAGGCCCCTGTGAAATCACTGCCTTTCACCCTGTGTCCTGTGGGTCTGCGGCCCTGATTCCAATCTGATTAATCACTCTCTCTCCCATTCACCTGCCAAACTACAGGCCTTTGGCCTGAACTTCAGGCCCTTGGGAGATTGTTCAGGCACTCAGGACTTTTGGTACAGCCACAGCTATCAATCTTGTGAATGCCGGATAGTAGTGGGCATGGAAGCTTATCATCCTTATAGTGTGTATGGAGAAGGAGCTAACCTGCTTTTTAAAAACTAAACCCCAAAACGTATCAAAGCAGTGCTGATGCTGGGTTTTTCAATCACAATTTGTTCTGTGTTTTGTGCCTTATGAGAACTAAATGAGGGGTTTTGTGTATATTTGTAGATATTTGATTGGCCACTTGCAAATTATTGTAGAATTTCAAATCAATAGCGGGTAGGCTTCTTTCTCCTTTTGCTTTGGCTCGTCTTTGACTAAAATGCCATGACTTGACAGGTGATTCCAGACCTCCCATTCCGATCTATATTGACTCCCCGCTTTAGTTTGTCTAGTTACGGGCCTGCTGACCCCTCCCTACCCCTGGGGCCTCACCTCATAAGCTATGTTTATACTGCAACTAAACGCCATCAGCTGGCCCGTGTCAGCTGTCTCGGGCTCGCAGGGCTCGAGCTACGGAGCTGTTTAATTGTGGTGCAGACGTTTGGGCTCGGACTGGAGCCCAGAGGGTCTCAGAGCCCAGGCTCCAGCTTGAACCCAAATGTCTTCACCACAGTTAAATAGCCCCGTAGCCTGAGCCCTGCGAGCCCGAGTCAGCTGACACAGGCCAGCTGAGGGTGTTTAATTGCATTGTGGACACATACCCACAGAGGTAGTGACTGTGAATTGATGTGAGATGCAGACAGTGCCCCTCCTCCTTAGCAGGAAAAATGCTGTGTCCACATCACAACCAAAATAGTTAACCAAATGGAGGGAAAATAAGCACAGGTTGCATTAGCACCAAGGCTGAGGACAAGCCCCTTCCCCTTACTCCAGAGAGTTTAGCCAGATATCTTCCAGGGGCTGGGGGTGGGGGGGACTGGCTGATATCTCCAGATTTTGAGTTGACCCACAGATTTATTTATTTTTTTAACACCAGAAGGGACCGTCTAGGCTGACCTGCTGTATAATGCCGGCCATAGAATTTCTTAACGCCAGTTATCTCGGCTTGAAGATTTAAATGTTTATCACTAATTACTAATGGATTGGAAAGTAGTTCATCATCCTCATGTGATTTGAGACAGATGTCATCCTGCTTCTTTCCCAATACAGGACAGAAATACTCTTCAAATACTTCTGCCTTTTCTGCATTGTTATTAACAATTTTCTTCAGCCAGGAGAGTGCTTGTGGTGGCAGTGGTTTCCCTGCCCCATGTTGGTAGAATGACACTCTCCTTCACAAAAGGAAAACCCCTCCACAAAGTCATGAATGAATATTGCCTTGTATTATGCTGCACCTTACATTTCTGTCCTTTGTATACACAGCCTGGGAGGGGGTGATGACCTTGTCAGATCTCACAAGCTAAGTGGGGTTAGATTTGGTCTGTAGTTGAATGGGAGAGCTCTACGGAAAACTCATTTGTTGAAGGAAATGGTGTTGGTGATTCCAGAAGAGGTCATCTTCATTCAAGTCAGTACTGGACCAATGCCTGAGTGTATTACTGACCAATAAAAGGTCTCTTGGTACTCTTCTGAAGGGTTGTGATGTTAGCACTAGTTTCCTGACCAAGTCCCATTTTGAGTAATTGCATTCTGCCCTGCTAACATTCCCCCTACAGTTGCAGCTGGGTAGGGCTGCCTTTATTTCTTGTTCTACAGCATTGCTATGTGCTGTTAAATAGGTGCAAGCTCCACCCCAGAGATGTCTGTATTGTATAAGTCATTTTTGTGTAAACACAGAGTCTGGTTCACACAGTTTTACACCAACTTTAACCCAGCTGTTTTCACTGGTTTACATTGGTACGAGAGGAGGGTTGAGCCCTCTGTTTTCAAAGCGGTCTTTTGTGATGAAAGTGCTATAGAAATGTGATTCACTAGTTATCACTGATCATGTGTGAAGTACAAGATTCATGCAAACATTTATTTCACATTTTGGAATGTCGTGTGTTTACAACAGACCTGTCATTTAGTGTCTTGTCCTAAGTTGGCGGTGTGTCCTGGGAGATGCCCAGATGTCCTCCAGAGGTGCCCAGACCTAAGCACAGGAGCCCAAGCCCCTTCAGGAAGCTCAGAACCATCTGGCTCCATCTACACTGTGAGTACCACCAGAACTACCCTCATCCCCAATGTGGCCTACTGCTAGACCTCCATGTGTACACCAGCATGGCACCATGTAAAAACAGGGTGATCTCGGGGGGTGGAGGAGAGAGACTGCGGTCCATTCACCTCAGTATAAGGAAGGATTTGATTCTAAAGATTGGGTTGGCGAGGAGGCGAGGCATCTGCTTATGCTGTCTTCTCTCTCTAACTTTTGCCTTCTATTCAGAATAAAATTGACACCCTTTTACCACTCCTGACACTGGCCCAGGGCAGCTGTTTCCATTCGCCTAGCCTGGTGGTGGCAATGCCTCTGTTTACCCAAGGAGGGGAAGGAATTGCTTAAGATGGGCAGCAGGGCAAATGTGGAAGGGAGTAAAAGAGTGAAAGTGAGCAGAGAAGAATATTGGCTGAATATCAGGAAACCTTTTCTGAGCACGAAATCTATAATGGAGTGCAAAAGTCTCACAAGGGGAGAGATGGAAGCTCAGTTGCATGAATCATTTGTGACTGGACAAAGATCTGGAGAATGTACTGTAGGGAATGCTAATGCGCTGCCAAGAAGGGTGGGATGCTGATATGGACAAGAGGATGGACTAGGTCTTTTCTAGCTCAAACTTCACGGGTTCTTATGAGGCCAGTAGGGTTTGGTTTGGTTTTTTAATTTTTGGAACTGAGGTTTTTAAAAAAAGCAGCTGGAAATACCAGAGTAATAATTTGGGGGAGGGGAATTAATTTGATAAATCTTTTACTTTCAGAAATCAATTTCTTTTTAATTCAACTTTTTAGTAAACATGGAGAGTTTTTCTGTAAAAGTGGATGATTTCTGCAAGGAGGTTAAAAAAAAATTCCAGTCCAGTTCTCGCTCAGTCAGCGTTGTCATGCATCCTCAGCATCATCTTAATTACACATTCCGTCATGTTGTCTCGTTCAAGGTGTCTACCTGAAGTTTAAAATAACAGTGTTTTAAACCCTGGGCCAGCTTTGTGAAAGTGCCCCTGGCAAGGGCTGGTGGACTTGATGGTGCAACCTCCCCACTGCTCCTTCTCCATAAGAGACTAGGAACCGGCCGGGGTGGTCCCCAAAATATAGGTGGGATTATTTTAAAATGGGGCACGGCTAATTTCCCTGGGAGATGCACTCATTTAGTGTCTCTTGGGAAGCGTTAGCTGCTGAGGTTCCTAGGGAATCCTAGCAAGAACATAAAGGTGCCATTCTCTGGGATGAAAGCCTCCTCCAGCCTAGCTACCCAAGGGTGCAGATTGCACTCCTGTTTCCTGGTGCCTGTGGGTGTGAATCTAGCTGATCTAACAGGACAGGGTAAAAAGGAATGTTGTGGGGCCTGAAGCTCTTCATTTGGTCCCATCTACACTATGAGACGCTAGTGTGGTGCTGGAGCTGGTTACCATACAGTAGCACACACAGCCTGATTTCTCTGTTGCCGAGGTGGATTAGGGGTTTGTGGGGCCCTGGGCCAGAGCAAGTGGGGGCCTCTCTCCACCTTTTCCGCCTGCAGTCTCCCCATTGTCCTCTCCCCTGACAGGGCGCTGAGTCAGGGCGTGGGCGCTTCCCCTGCCCGCCAGGTGCTCCTGCTGGGGAAATGGGGTTGGGGCACAGGGGCTTGCCCTGCCCCACCAGCCCGGGACCCCTGCCAGGGAGCGGGGGCTTCCCCTGCTCCCCCGCAGGAGTGCTGGGCGGGCAGAGTGGGTCGGGGCATGGGGGCGCCCATATTTCCAGGTGCCCCCCAATTGGCTAGGGCCCCTGGGCATGGGTCCCATTGGCCCAATGACTAATCCACCATTGCTTTGTTTCTGGGAGAAAAATGCACAGGGCAAGAGACTGTCTGTGACCAGCAGCAGGAAAGGAACGGAGAGCAAGGAAGATGAGAAGAGCTGTGTGTGCGTGCACATGCATGTTGGGGGCTGTATTCTGAATGAGTGGCCAGATGAAATAACTGTTAATGTTCGCCTCTTTTAAGGGGCGAGTGGGGGTAGGAACCACATGATGCTCTACTCATTTTGGCTGCCCAGTCTGTCTCAAGGCCCCTAGGCAGCCTGTTCACCCCCTCCCAACACATTCTGCTCTTCTTTAAATCATGATAACTTTGAGCCTGAACATTTATAATTCCCAGGGAAACGAATGGGGTGATAGATGCTCAGCGCCTCCCAGGATCAAACCCAGTCACTTGCTTTTTCTCTTTGCTGTATTAAGAGACATTAGGGTGACCAGATGTCCCGATTTTATAGGGACAGTCCCGATATTTGGGACATTGTCTTATATAGGTGCCTATTACCCCCCACCCTGTGTCCCGATTTTTCACACTTGTTGTCTGGTCACCCTAAGAGACATGACAGTCTCATTCACTTTGCAATCCCTCCCTAAGAGCACCTTCCCCTCCTGCCTGCCTAAGCTCCTCCCATCCTCTTGTTGCCAGAGAAACAGCAACCTTGGCAACCTGCTGTCATCCTTGAAATACACATGGAAAAGTCCTCCTGATTGTTTTATTAGATCCTCCGGGCAGATCTGGAGCATCATTCAATCTGACATGCATCTTTAGTGACACGATTATCTGAGGGACAAGGAGATGCTCACACGTGTAGGATGTGTGTGTATGTTTCTGCATGTACCCGTGTGTGAGCATTCAGGGCAGAGGTTATTTCCCGGAGGCCCCCCCTAGCCCTCCCCCCATTCAGGGCTTCAGCTTCAGCTGTGGGGCAGGGAATCTCGGGGCTTTAGCCTCATGGGGTGGGGGGGTGCCCTAGGGCTCAGGGCTTCTGCTCTGCGGGGCACCCAGGGCTCAGGGCTTCTGCCCTGCGGGGCACCTATATGGGGGCTTGGGCTCCAGGCTTCAGCCACAGAGCCAGCTCGCAGCCCCCCAGAGGTTTGAAAATATTTACCAGAGCTCCACTCTGGACAGCTCTGGCTGAATTTAAGCCCTGATTCAGGGGGGAGTGTGTGGGTGTATGTATGTAAGTGTGATTTAGAATGTGTGTGTGAGCTAGACTCTGTGTGTGTGTGTGTGTGAGAGAGAGAGAGAGAGAGAGAGAGTACGTT